GTGTCATCCCAAGATTCCCCCCATTAGAAATGTTGCACTAACCCACCCTCAGAACACCTCTTTCACCTGCTAGAATCCACTTGAGGGAAATCGGAGAAGACAGAGCAAGAACAGAGAATGCCTTGGTGGTGCACATTCCCTGCCACGGAGCTCGCAGTAGAGACCTGAAAATGATCTGCAGGTCCTCTGACTGTGCGAAAGAATTGAATACTGTCTCTGTGTGTCCAGGACAGACAAATAGACAAGTTTCTGCGGCACAGAAAGCATCTATTATTACAGGAGAGAGAAAATAACAGACCTACTGGAAAGGCCCAGCTCCAGCATGACCACGTCATTGGAGTACTGTTGCGGAGATGCCCTGTCAGGGAGAGAACCCCGCTGCGCCTGTGATCTACTGAGACCTGCTCCAGAGAGCTCTCCAGAGAAGGGCAGCGTGTCCTCGGGAAGAGGGCTGATGGTCGCACCTGTCGCACTCACACAGCCTGAGTTCACCTGCAGGTCACCTGGCCACCGTTTGTGCTCATTAATTGCCTTGACTCAAAACCACACAGCGCACTGTTGACAAGAGGAGACTGCAATTCTGAGCAGAGAGCCCGGTGAATCTGGCACCAGTCCTGTAGGTGAGAGACAGGGCCCTGTCTTCCATGATGACTACCTGCCTCATAGTGCCCAGGGCTCCAGAAACGGCTGCTCAGGCTGTAAAGCAGCAAAAACAATGTACAGATTTAAAATAATCTACATACAGCTGGTGGCTGTAGCACATGCCTGTCATCCCAATCATTTCAGAGGCTAAGGCAGGGGGATCCTGAGGAGTTCAGCCTGGGTGATACTACGAGAGCTGATGCCCAAAAAGAACAACTATATGAATAAAGAAAATACATCTGGGCATAATAAAATATTCACAAGTATTCTATATCAAGTGCTTTGAAAGAAAGAAATGTTTCTTTTAGAAGGAGGAAAACAGACTTTTAGTTTTCAGCTTTCATTTGCTTGTACCTACATCATACACAATGTAACTTCTCTGGGTCTGAATTTTACCACTGAAACATAATGGAACGAAGACCTCTCCCACCTCCCAGTCTGTTCTTTCACTCAGGTCTTAGCATCTCAGTCTCCTGGATGGGCCAGGTGCCCTCTCGGTGATGAGGACACAGTCACCCAGCACACAGGGGAAGACAGGGACCAGGCCCTCTCTGGGGCAGCTCCGCCCTTCTCACACAACTGGAAAAGTGTGCCATTGTCACCTCTCATCTCAGGCCTGAGTCCAACTTTAGTTTCATCGCTTGGCATCGGGACTGGAAGGGTCCCCTCTGGGGCTTGCATGCCTGACAGACAGAAGGGCCATCTTGAGTGAACACGAATCAGAGAGCTGCGCACAGATTTCGTGGCAGGGTTAGTTTGTTGGGAGATGGTGTAGGCCAGGACTGTGTGAGCCCAACGTGTGCAGGCAGAGCAAGGGGCTTGGTCCTATCCAGGCCCTGATATGAAGGGAAAGGAAAGCCGGGTCCCAGGAAGGCTGTCACTCCTTAGTCTATTCCTTTGTTTAAAGAAGGCTCTGAGAAAGAAGGGAGTGACTTGTTCCATGCATCAGAAGCCTATTCTGCTCACAGGGTGGAACTTGGGGGAGGTAAGGGAGTTCTGGTGAAATGGGAGAACTGAGCCAGAGCAACTCAGGTAGCAGTTTCCTTTCTCACTGCACCTCCTCCCTAGAAAACTAATTACACTACACTCCAGTGAGGCCTGAGATAACTTCTGAGCTAAACAGATGTGGTAATTGTGGAGGGAGAGGGGAAGCTGTCCCCAAGGGAGGAGATGCTCAGTGGGTTTCTTCCCCTGACAAGTGACACCCGTGAGCACTGCAGTCCTGGTGATAGTTTCTAGTGGCCAGGTGCTCGTCAGTGCTAAAGGGACAAATGTGGCCAGAGCCACACCTGGCCAGGACGACCGACCTGGAGTCGTGTGCAGTGCTCTGCCAAGGTGAGCAGACCCGAGCAGCCTTTCGTATACTCAGCTGTACAGGTATGTTTCTTACTAAAGCTTCATCTCTGTGTGCCTGATGGAGGGAGTGGAAGAGGGGGCCCTGAGCCAAGAACCTTCCCTGATCTTCTGACATCTGAAGCTCCCTCCCTGGGCTCAGAGAGATAATGGGGCCCAGTCCCAGCGGGTATTGCACCCAGAATTCTTGAGCCCCTGTCACTGAGTTCAGGACCTGCTGTCACCCCAGAGCCGTGTGCTGGGTCTGGGCATGAGATCCTCCCCTGGGTCTCGAAATATTAGAGTAACAAAAAGGATCTCCAGTGAACCAGGGAGAATGGTTTCCTTCTCCACCTAATTTCCCAGTTATGACCCTGAAGGCAATTTTAGCTTTACAAACTATGTTTACAGACTATGTTTCCTGATTTTGAATGCATGGCACCTCTTTATTTTCCATTATATTGTCCACTGTGTGCCTTTGTCTGTAACATGAAGGTGTCTGTCTGTACTCTTCAGTTATGCTTCCCTCATTTAACACATGATATTATACTCTAAGTGAAATCCAACTTCATTCTCATGCACCCATGCCTACTAACAGGACAGAAATTATCCTTTGGTTTTGAGAATCCCTACTATAGATTTTGCATGTGGTCTTTTTAATAGCTTGCAATCACTGAGTAAACTTTAAACAACTTGCAGTCTAGATGGATTACTTAATCTGCTGGCTTGCAGCTTGTAGCTTAATCTATTATGTTTGGTTATCTGGGATAGTGCACAGCTTTATTTAATAAATGCTGTTTGCATTGTGTCCCATTTTTCAAAGGATATCTCTAATATCATGAGCTAATTGTGGTCAATACTGCATACAAGGCATAGATAGTGCCGTTCATGGTGCATGGATCTTTAGGAAAGAGAATGCTAAAGCCATCCTTTAATATGTAGTAGTAAGCAGATGGGAGGCTTATAGAAAAGTATTGCAAGGAAATGGAACACATGTAAATCAATGATGATAAGTGAGACATCCTTACTTAATTAATTCAGGAAGTGATCATGTTTGCCATAACATTCAGAGTAGGAAATGAGAATGGAGAATTGAGAAAGGAAAGAGGAAAACTCCAGGCACAACTGAAATTGATACCATCTTGGGCTGAGACAGGGGACTGTAAAATTGATTATGCCCAGTGCAGGCTGTGAGGAGTTAACTCCACATTTGTCTTGTTTATAGAAGTGATTTCTGCTGAAGCCTGGGTACCAATCTGAGTAACTCCCACCCAAATTCCATTCTCAGAACTAAAACATTCACACCAGAAGGACAGTGTTCTAATTGCAACCACGTATTTTGTCTATTCTAAATTGAGATCGTTTGTCTTGTCCTTTAGTAGCCTAGTTTATATTAATTTTCATAGAAACTGCACATAGCTCCTGTTCACAGCAGTTGATTGACAGTAAAATTCAGTGCCTGGGACTGGCCAGCACCTTTGTTGGTTGCACCCACATTGGTCATCCCGGCACCTTTGTTTGTCTCTCCTAGTTCTGCCTTTTAGTTTTGTTTCTCAGGCCGGCATGATATTCTGAGCAGGATACTAGAACCTAACTGCAGGTGTCTCCAGTAGGCTGATAGCAACCAAAGCAGCCTGCTGTTAATGGGTTTGGAAAAGCTGCATGGTGCCCTCAGGTTGCAAGGTGAACTGGCATCACCGCCTCTTGCCAGGCCAGGCAGAGACTGCAGACACCATTAGTTCCCCCTATGGAGGGATTTCTTTTCACCTTAATGTTGTCGCAACCTCTGATGTTACATGACCACATTATTTGGAATCCCTCATCCATAAACTGCCCTCATCTGAAGATAACACACAGCACCTTACTACTCCTCCACCCTTGCTATTCTACCTCAATAAATATCAACAGATCCAGAACTGATCCAGGCTTCCCTTAATAGTCCTGGTTGCGCTGTGAACCTTAACTTCTTCTAAGACCGTTGTAGAGAAATTTATTATGATATCTTCTGTGTCCAACCATCAGTCTATACCTTATGTATTTATTTTGGTGCTCCATTTAGAATTTCCTTCAAAATAGATAAAATTCTCTGATACATACATTCATTATATAT